GTCAAAGCAGATTTCCTATTGACTGCCAGCGAATAGGAAATGCGCGAGAGTGAGAGCTCCCGAGGAGAACGACTGGAGCTCATTTAGACCTCAACAAAAATATATATCCATAAAGTCAGTCTTCATTTCATTCACCGCCTATTCAAACATTTGCTGGTCTTTGGTGGGGACCTTTTTATGAAGGTTCATTTCCGTCTGTATTACGCAAACAAATAATACGTTTTGAGAGCAAATTTCTTCAAAAAAAATAAAAAAATAAAAACCCCTTTTTTACTGGAGGTGAGTTTGGGCGTAGTGGGCGGGGCATATACTGCCGAACCAGCCAGGAGTTTCTATTGGTGCGTTCAATCCCCGTCCGATTCCTGATTCTGCACACATGCTGCTACTGTCCTCAAATGATGATACGTGATAGAGTGACGATAAACTACTCTACAGGGGGCTTTTGTGCAGGCCTCACGGCAGGGAAACCGCAACTTTTTTGGATCGTCCGATTCTGTTGGACCCGAGAAACGCTGCGCGAGAGTGACAGCTCCCTCAGCCACTCAGGAGCCGAAACGGGCGTAGCGTAAAATTACGCTTGGCTGACAAAACCTCATATCTCCTTTCTGACGGAGGCCTTTTCGGTTATTTTTCACCGATCGCCCCGTGTAGCTCGCAGTGACGTGCTCCCTTAGTTGTGCTACATGGGATCCACTCACACATTGTGACACAGCTGGAGTCAGTCAATGTGTGTGTGTGTGTGTGTGTGTGAGAGTTGTTGGAGATACCTGATCCCTTTTATTGTTCATTTGACCCGCATCCCAGGATGCATGAGCTTCGGGGTGGAGCATCCAGATTCCTCGTCCAGGTGATCAGTGTGGACGTGAAAGCAAAGGGAGAGAGAGGCGTGGAGGGGAGAGCGCGAGAGAAAACCCCCCACAAAGTATATCCAAAATATTTCTCTCCCACAAACCCATTAAGGAGCATTGTTTCTTTAAATCCTCACAGGCCCTTCAGCGAGCAGAGAAGCACACACACACACACACAGATGTACATGGTTAGCAGGCTGGAGCTGGTTTGATTCAGCATGCAGCCAGTCGCACTGTGAGGGTCTCACCCCCTGCCTGCTACTGCCACCCTCCACAGTCTCTCCCTTTCCTTATTTCTGTCGCTAGCTCTCGCTTTGTGCGACAGGAAGCGAGTGCTGGCTGAGTTTACAAACTGGGCTCCCAGTGTCCTGTGAAACACACACACACACACACACACAGGGTTGATCTGCCCGGCCTCGTGTCTCCTGATTAGCCCCCCTCTCCATGACAAACAAGCCGTAGCACTGAAGAAGGAGGAAGGGATGCACAGGAGATGAGAGGAGGAGAAGGGGAGTTGTATGGGGACTGGGGGGGGCCGAGGTGAGGAGGCCGGGACCCCCCTGGGGACCCCGAGATCACAGCCATGCTAACGAGGAGCTGCTTCGCCAGCAGCAGAGGTGTCAGCGAAGCCCTGACAGGTGCACAGGCGCGTACTTGCGTCGGCGTGTGCATGTGTGTGTGTGTGTGTGTGTGTGTCGTGAGCTCGGGTGGGAGGAGCTGCAGCGGCAGGTTTATGTCCCAGTGGCCTCGCCTGCGGGCGGCTTTGTTCTGTATGCAAATTCTGTCGCAGAGGCGTTCCGTCGCCCTTGATGGAATGTTGTGGGGAACGTGAACCCGGGAACGCCACGGTGACATGTGACATGTTCTGTCGCAGGGCCCGGCCCCGCACGGCCCTCCGGGTTTTGCCAGTAAAGCGACATCACTCTGCACACTCCAGAACTAGAGCTGGCGTTCAAAGGCTACTCATTTGCAAATTAGGATTGTTTCCCTTGAGCTTCATAAGAGTTAATTTGGGCGTCATTGAGCCGTCATTACCACGTAGCGTCGGCTGCGGAGCGCCGCGGTTCGCCCGTCTTTTCGAGGGCTGAGCCTGTGGATTTTCGTTATTCTTATGTGGTCTTATTATAAATCCTCGTGGATTAGCGCATCTGATGAAGGCTCCAAAATGGAGGTGTAGTGTAAATGAAGGGAGCTCATGCTTCGAGAAAAGGATAAATCAAAGTCGGGAGGGGGGGAGGCGGCATATGTGAATTCCTAAATGAAACAGAACTCCACATGTCTGCACCATACGCCCGGTGTCGACGTCAAGCCTGCCAAGCTCACACCAACTTTTCCACACCGGCCATATGCAAACAGTCAATACCATGGCTCCCCTTCATTCACTGGCATTTTGTTTGTACTTTTTAAGGCAAAATCGTGGCTATAAAAGGCAATCTGGAAGGAATAAAATCTGATGTAAAGCTCTGATCTCAGTCCCCGAAGACTGGGTTAATTGGCCCGGTGGTTTAGTAAAAAAATAACCCAGGAGAGGAGGAGAGCATTATTACCGGCCCACCTCAGCTCGACGCATGTGCCAATGTTTTAATAACTTCCTCCAGGCCTCCTGGCCCGTAGCCCTTGTTTTCTTGCAGGACAAAGAATAGTGCTCCTTAAGTGGATTGAGGTCTGTGTCGCGTTCATCCGTTTCATGCGAGCCTACCTGGTCGGACGGCCGGGCTCGAGGCTCGAGGCGAACGCGAGCTCACAGATTTAGACGGTGTCACCCTGTAGCTCTGAACGAACGCTTCGAGCGGCTGGGTGTATTTCAACATGCGGCGCCATATTACTGAATCCTGCTGTGACGCCCATTTCATTTAGCCTTTCGTCTTATTCACTGCAGAAGATGTAGCGTCAGTGGCGATCACATGGTGTGCCCGAGTCAATTGGCCCATTAGGTCCAGCATCAGCGACCATGTGAAGGATCTATTCCAACTGGTCGTTGACCTCGGCAGTGAGCAGTGAGGGGGTCCCTGCCGTGTCAGACCGACTCCTTGGGGAGTTTCTACCCGTCCCACTCATGAACCCTTTGCACAAGTCAGAATTGGATGCTGACGTAGCCCGAAGGAATTGCCCATAAGTCATTGCTAGGCGACGTCAAAAACTGGGATAGCCGTCGTTCCTTCGATGTTGTTTGCTGTGATTATTGAGGTGCAGAATCCGTGACTTCATTTCCCTTTGCGGATGACAAGAGATGGTTGGATTATTTTCGTTTCGTCTTTATTCTACGTAGGAAATAAATTATAAATATACAAACAATAAACAGGGTCGAAAAACGATATGCTCTCGTGCCTAATGCAGCTCTCTGCTTCAACCATGATGTCACTACATTTAGACACAAATACTTGACACATCTTTAGTTCATGCACAATGAGCGTACATCTGAAATGAATGATTAATGTTGCCCAAATTCCAACAAACTATTTTCACCAGTTAATATATTGTTCATAGTTTAAATTTAAAAAGTATGAAGCTAGAGTTATGAATTCAATTATATTTACAATATTCTTTAAACAGTTATTATAATGTTCAATTTGAAGGAAATACGGCAATTTGACTTTACAATAAAATGTCGTTAATTGTTGTTTTCTGCTTCTTTTTAAAAGTATTGGGTAAAAACCCCAAACGATACCCATCCCTAATCACGTCTGGCCCTTAAAGTCTCCCCACCTTTCTTCTTACCCCCTCTCCTCCTCTTCCCTTTCCCTCTTTCACTCTTCGTCTCGTCCAAGGTGTTAAGCTGTCCAGCTCTCCGCTGCCAAGCGGCTGTGTGAAGCCTCGCCAAACTAAACACGGGCAAGCAGCCAACAATTCGCCCCCCCCCCCCCCCCCTCCCAAAAAAACATGCACCGACCAAAAATACATCCATATAAATGTCCACACATGCGTGCACACACACGTTAGGAGCAGGAGTCAGGTCATGTGCCCTCCCACACAAACAGAGAGAGACGGCCTCATGGCAGAGAAAAACAGACAGAATCGGCAAATGAGCCCCTCATTAACTTTTTTGACCCCTTCTCCCCTGAGGAAAGCCAAAGCAATCCCACTGCCAAATCAACTTCCTGTACTGAACACTGATCCAACATCAGCTTTGTTCTCATCCCTTTGCACAATACAAGTGTGTGTGTGTGTACCGATGTGGGATGTGAGAGAAGCAGGAGACAGGGAGGGGGGGAACGTAAAAGGAGAACGCTGCCATGCATGTGCCTTTTTTACGTTCCGCGACCGCGGGGTCGCTTCGAGGCAGCCATCTTACTGTTGGGGCTCTGTTCTTGATCCCGCAAAGCTTGTGGGCAAAAATCACTTCTCCGTCTTTATTTCTCCATGCGGGCTTTGGGACCACCGGACCAACTGAACTCCATTTGCGGTAGCTGCTGCTGATAAAGCAGATGCAGATGCTGCTTTCGATGCTGGCCTGCCTTGAATTAGATGAATCCCGACCGAGGCGCTCTTTATGACTCACGAGCGTCCTGACATGGCCGTGCCGTAGTGACTGATAGATTCATTTGGCATTACTAAGTCATGCAATTTAAAAGGGCAATTTTTCCCTGAGTGATATGAGGGTTTGTGTGCGTGTTTGAGTGTGCGTACTGTAGTTTTTATTACAGCAGTGACGTAGAGCTTTATTTCCTGTGGATGCTGTGTTAATACCGCAGGGCTCTTTACTGTTTACACATCGTCTCCATCACCTCTCCTGGCTGTCCCTTGGTGTGTCCCTCAAATACCACTGTTCCCCTCCCCCTCTCCCATATTTTCCCCATTTTTGTGCTCTTTTCCCATTGCTGTCTCCCCTGTCTCCATATGGAAATGACAGAGTAGACGCGGTGGATCTGTATATTAAAGCCTATCTGACATTAGAATTAGCATAATGTCTTGTGGCCTTAGGGCAGTACCTGCCATCTGCATTAGTCTGCTGACACATTTCCTGCAAACAAAAAGAAAACCTTCATAAATAGACCAAAACAGAATGTTTATACAACTATGTTTAAACTAAAGTTGATTTTACTCCTGTGGCACAGCAGCCTTGCAAAGGAATACATTGACTCCAATGTAGTACTAAAGTGTTTTGGGGGATTTTATGGTATTGATTGTGATTTTGTTTATTTTGTCCTACAGATAAAGGTGAGCCATCCAGCTACATCTGCACCACCTGTAAGCAGACCTTCACCAGCGCCTGGTTCCTGCTTCAGCATGCTCAGCACACTCACGGCATCCGCATCTACCTGGACCACCACACAGTCAACTACTCTCTCACTCCCCGCTTGGCTCTGCCTCCACCCCCGTGCACTGAAGCCCTGCCCCGCTCCCCGCTCCCCACTTTCCTTGGTGACACCAACAACCCATTCCACCTCCTCCGCATGGCCGCGCCTCTGCTCAGGGAACACCACCCTCCGCCGGGGTACATGGAAACCCGGCTGCCTGCCACGCCACCCTTCATCAGCCCCCCCCCTCCACCGAGACCCGCCCTAGACCGGCTGGGCCCGGAGGAGATGGGGCTGCTGTCACAGCACCCCAGCGCCTTTGAGAGGGTGATGCGGATGACCCCCATGGAGCCGCCTTCCATGGACTTCTCCCGTCGTCTCAGGGAACTGGCAGGCAACACGACCAATAACGGGGGGCCCACACCTCCTCTCTCACCAAACCGTGTGCCGCCGATGCACCGCTTGCTGAGTCCGACGCTTTTCCAGGCCGGCGCCAAACCCCCAGCATTTCTCACCTATGCCCCGCAGCAACCCACTTCTCAGGGGGGGCACGGTTCTTCCAGCCCTCCGGACGCCCAGGGTCCGAACCAGACCCCGGGGAAATCCAAATCCTGTGAATTCTGCGGAAAGATTTTCAAGTTTCAGAGCAACCTCATTGTCCACAGACGCAGCCACACAGGAGAGAGGCCGTACAAGTGTCATCTATGTGACCACGCCTGTTCCCAGGCCAGCAAGCTTAAAAGGCATATGAAGACCCACATGCACAACAAGTCTGGGTCCTTAGGTGGCTCCCCAGAGCAGGGAAATAGAGAAGAGGGAGGAGAGGGTGAAGAAAAGAATATGGAGGGGAGTTCAAGAGGCTTGGGGATGGACAATGAGGAGGATGAGGAAGAAGAGGAGGAAGAAGAAGAGGAGGAAGAGGAAGAGGAGGAAGAACTGAGGAATGGTCGGCCAGATTCAAACTTAAGCGAAGACTCCCAAGACTTCGGCCACAATAGGGAGAATGGCTCCAGACAATGTCTCGGGGAGAAACCCCTGGGTGGGGATAGAGTAAGTGACGGTGGCGGCGTGGGTATCATGCACCAGTTCAACCATCTCGACAATCACCTCAGACTTAACCCTAACAAGAGAGGCCTGGAGAGACAGCCGAATGGAGATGTTGCTGAAAGGTGAAGAAAGAGAGAACGAGAGGGAGCAGGACAGAGGACGGGATCAGCACGTGGAGCAGAGGCCTGTGATGAACGGTAGGATCAGTGTACCTGAAGCAGACTCCTTCCCCGGGCTGTTCCAGCGTCGTCCCACCCCCATCACCAGCCCAAACCCCTCCAATAACAAGAGGATCAAAATAGAGAAGGAACAGCTGGAGCTTCCTCCGACCTTACCTCTCATTTCCCCGGAGAACGTCTACTCTCAGCTGCTGGCAGGCTACGCCGCTTCACGCCACTTCATCAGAGAACCCTACTTGGGATTCACCGATTCCCGTCAGTCGCCGTTCGGCACCTCCTCCGAGCACTCGTCCTCAGAGACAGGAAGCCTCCGCTTCTCCACCCCGCCCGGGGAGATAATGGAAGGAGGAAGCGTCTCGGGCCGCAGCGGCAGCAGCACCCCTCACCTCCTGCGGGGACCTGGACCCGGCAGGCCCCCGAGCTCTAAGGATAGGCGGAATGACACCTGCGAGTACTGTGGCAAGGTGTTCAAGAACTGCAGCAACCTCACGGTGCACCGACGCAGCCACACAGGCGAGCGGCCCTACAAGTGCGACCTGTGCAGCTACGCCTGCGCCCAGAGCTCCAAGCTGACGCGCCACATGAAGACCCACGGGCAATTCGGAAAGGATGTGTACCGCTGCGACATCTGCCACATGCCCTTTAGCGTCTACAGCACACTGGAGAAACACATGAAGAAATGGCACGGCGAACACTTGATGGCCAGTGAGGTCAAACTGGAGCAGGCGGACAGAGGCTGAGCCAGCAGCCATTTGTTAATCAGCCTACGGTGTACACAAGCAAACAATAACACACATACAAGAACAAGTACACACACATGTACACACCAAAATTCCTGTAACCTCTTCTTCAGCTAGGCTACTTGGCTGGATAATCTCTCTCTCTTTAAAAAATTGAGACTGATCGATGTTAATCTTTCTTTTCTTGTCGCAGAAACTGCCACCTAAGAATATAAACAAAGGGAAACTTTAATGATAACTAGTCTGGAATGCACAATATGGTGCTTCCTGGCAAACTGTCTGAGGATTTTATCAGTTAGGAGTCCATGGAGCCTTTCTACTGTGCAATAATTTCTGTATTTATTGGATTTTTGTATTGATATTTGGCATGTGCAGGTACATCTTTGTGGGATTTCAAATGGAGTTAGTTTTGAAATGTGCTAAATTGTTTTTTCTTTCTAAAATGAGACAACTGAAGTCACCCTTAATACGAATTTTTCTTGTTTTCTCCTATAAGGAAGCTTATTGACATGTCTGCGTAAAATTGTACAAAGCAGTTTTTAAAGTAGAATAATTGTTTTTTATATTAACTGCAGCAGCGGACTACAATCCACTCCCTAATACTGGCCTAAAGCACTGAATGTCAGCCTGACAATAAAACATTATGCTGGATTTCAAAAATCCAACATTTTCTGAAAGACCTGATAAATTACTTTACATTCATTCAGGGGATTTGTCCTTGAAAATATTGGCATGTGAATAATTTTTAAAATGCAGTTACTGTATTGCTGTCCTTGCTTGAGTCGGGACATTAATACAGGTAGCACTTAATGGAGGTACCTTTAACTGATGCTCAGTACATTCCCAATGTAGGATTAAATACCATATTTAATATGTTGAATGAATTACTTATGATTAACGTGTGAGGCAGAACAGTCCCGTTTATTTTTTTTGTAAATATTTTCTTTTTTTGGTATCTTAAAGCTGCCCTGACTGTACGTGAAAGACGGACTAAAACTAAACAATCAGAAGACCGGCTGCCTCCGCAGAATACGCTCAAAGAATATGTTGAGTGTAACGACCATTCATCTTTGCTTTATTAGACCCACCTGTTTATCTCCCCCACCCTCTGTGTGCTTACTGGAAGGCAGTTTGTTAAACTAAAGCTACTTGAACAATTGCAACACGTTCTCATTCATCTCGATCTCCTTGTTATGTCTGCTGGGTGATCCGTCTCCGACCCGGGGTTTGCCTCCCCCTGTCCCTTTAGGATCCACGAAATGCTTCCAAATGCAATTCCTATCAATATGTGTTAGCATGTGTGTTCCTCTCACTGCGGTGTGTTCTAAGCCTCTCTCTTCGAAGGTTCCTTTTCACAGATCACTAGCTCAGATTTATGCATCAGAGCAGCTTTTAAAAGCCTCAAAGTGATTTGTTTTAACTCCCAGCAAAAGGTATCGAGACGGTGTACATGTTTGACTTTTGGGGATAACAGTTTTTATTTTCTACATTGTTGGTCCGAAAAGTACTCTTTTGGTGAGAGAAAAGGGCTATTTTATGAGTTATGATCATTTTGAGCACAGCTGCAAGGAAGTGACCTTAGTAGGCTCTATTCTTATGGTCAAAATGAAAGATTGAAACTGAGAAATGCATATGAAATGTGTGTTTTTTTCACCCAAATTCACATCCATCACATCTTGTAATGGACTATCAGAGACAGAGCGAGCGTGAGAGCAATGGAGACGGCAAAACCATGTGAAAGGAAATTCAGACTACATCTTTTATCTTAGTTCTGCAATTCTCAATCATCTTCACTTGAAAGTTTAAATTGCTACTTCAGCTTGTTGTCTTTTTCATCTGCACCATTTGTTTTGCCAAAACAATGATTATACTCTATGTTTAATGCCAATTGCCCGTTTTTGGATTTGAGAAAGGATATGATGTTGAGGCCATAGCAGTTCTCCAAAAGCTAGTTCAATATTTTAACAGTGAATTGACATAAGAAGTGAGATTGGCTAAAGAGTTGCTTTACGCTTGCTTACACATGTGACGCCTACACCATGAGAGCAAAAATCAAAATCCTGTTACGAGTGTATTCATTCCAGTGAAACTGGAAAAGGAGGAATAAAACTATGAGACATATCGCATCCAAACAGTGAACAGTGGAACGCTGACAGAGACCCGATCACACCTGAACATTCAGGCCTTCAATATGTTTGAAGAGTAGAAGTATGCTATTAATACAATACTCTGTGTAAGTGTTTAAATGATAACAAAGTATTGTTTTTGTCAAATGTTTTGAATGCCATTACAGTTTTGTATGATTATCATGGTGGAGGGATTTGTTTCTATATGATGTTTCTGTATGATTCATTTTTCTCTGTATGGGAGGACAATTTTTACTGCAGAATCATGCCAGATTATTATTTTTTTTATTTTATAAGAGTGGTACTCATTTGTTTTATTTAATTTTTTCTTTGTTGGTATGGTGAAGCTCTCCTCCATGGACGTAAAAAAACGATAAAAAAAAACAGAATTACATGAATGAGATGATTCTAAAAGAAGAACTTTGGGCAGGGAAATGAGCATTGAGCAGGAATCAATTTTATGAGATATTCATGAACATTGGCTTTTGTTTTTCCTCATGGTTGGTTAAAGGTCTTGTGAAGGCACTTACAACTGTAATTTTAAATACATTTTAATATTTAACTTTTCACAACTTTCACTTTCACTCTTTGTACAAAACAGTTTCCTGTTTGTTTTTGGTGAGAGGAGGGGGGGTATCATTGTGAAAAAAAGTGATTTTCGAACAGTGGATCTGCTGTTTTGAGCATATATGTATTTTTGTAATGTGTTGAAAAATCAATACAAGAAAGCCAACACTTCAATAAATGTTGCAATTGCTCTATGATTGAAGCAACTTTTCAGTTTGAATATTTCATTCTTGTCTTCCAACATTGTGATTAACAAAAAACATACATTTATGAATAAACCACAGGTTTTGCAGTGAACATGTTCATTTTTTGATAACTGTAGTAAGATAAAAGTAAGTGAAATAGGTGAAAAAAGTGAAAACAGCAATACAGGAGGAACAACGAGAGACCAGAGATGCACCAACACAACTTGTGCCCAAGAGAGGAGCTGTGTCTGTTTGGAGGGTTTTTGGTTTTGTAAAATCTGCCGTAAGTTACGTTAAATCGTTAAAAGATTTATTGCAAAGTCTGTCGAGCCTCTGGCGGCAACACCAGCAGCCACAACAAGCTAACAAGCTAACACGCTAACCAGCTAACTGGGCCAGCGAGCGGCGAACAGCTGTTCGGGTAGCCGGCAGTCCTTTTTGGGGTCAATGAATGACTGTGTTTACTTGAAAAAGCAATCCCGTTATATACTGGGATACCGTCAGAATCTTTCTAAATACCTTGATATGGATTTTTGGCCGTACTCCACAGCCCTACAATACGGGGTTACAAGCTCTTTGAGATAAAACGGTGCCTCACCAGCAAGTGCGGAGAAGTACCTTAAATTCTCTTCTTGATTTAACAGGGAGCCAATGCCAAGAAGCTAATACAGGAGTAATATAATCCATTTTCTTTGCTATTGTTAATACACATGTTGCAGTATTCCGAATAAACTTAAGAGGCTTAAGAGACATATTAGAGTAGCCTCATTATAAATAATTGCAGTAATCTAATCCAAGTAACAAATGTATGCATTTATTCCTCTGCATTACTTTTAGACAGAAAATGCCAGATTTTCAATATATTACGTAGATGAAAAAACGTTTGTTTTATCTCAGGGTTAAAGGACAAACTGAGCTGGCTAGTCTCTTCTGGTTTGTTTGATAGATACTCCACGAGTATCGACGAGTATCGTCTGCAATGAAAGTTTTGCAGTGTTTTCTTATGACATTGCCTAAAGGAAAGGATTCACTCCAGCCCCTCCACAAACGCACGATCTGCCTGTTTCAACGACTTTTTTAAAGCGCCTGATCCTATTGGATACAACTAAACCCCCTCGGAAATGATTGACAACTAAATTATAGCACAAGTTAAACTTCCAGACCTTTGCTCAACGAAATTCTCTCAAATGGACCTTGTTGATCAGAATCTGAGCAATTATTCTTCACATTGTGCTACTACTGCTGCATTGCACCTACCAACACTTTCCCACGCGAAGGTGCTTTTTGCTGCAAGAACTTCCTTGTTCTCATGTAGAAATACAAATGAGAGTGAAACTAACATATATTTCTGAAGGGAGATGTTGACAGCTTTGTGCTTCATAAATGAGTCCTGGCATGAGTGTGGGGACCCATCAGGTATTTCTTGATATCAGGCCAACAGCAGTCAAGCCTGTCCTTGCTTGAGCCTCCGGGCCACTGGATAGCAGGAACAGTGCACACATATGTGTGTGAGTGTGTGTGTGTGTGTGTGTGTGTGTGTAGGGGTATGTGTGCAGGCTATACGTGTATTCAATTTCATTCAATTAATTTTATGTAGCCTAAAATCACAAATTACTAATTTTTCTCAGAGAGCTTTACAGTCGGTACACATGTGACACTTCCCCAAACATTACATTACAGGTCATTTAGCTGACGCTTTTATCCAAAGCGACTCACATTGCATTTTTAACACATGGCTTTTTACTTTTTTGCCTGGGGAACAATTAAGGGTTATGTGTCTTGCTCCGGGAGACTTCAACATGAGACACGGAGCAGATGGGGCACGAATCGTCAACCTTGCGGTTCCCGGGCACCCTCTCTACCCATGCGCCACCGTCGACCCCAAAACCTCCACCTTCACATCGGCACAGGAAAAACTATGAAGAAAAAACTCCCCCACCGGGACAAAAAATGAAGAAACGTCAGGGACAACGGCAGAGGAGCACTAAGGTCCAACAGGACAAGAACAGAGACGAGTCCGATACAAGTAGAAGATCATTCGTTATTTTCACCGGTGCTGTTTCTGCAATATGACGCATTCTACATCCTGACTGAAAATCAGTCCTCAAACAAACCATTTTTGTGTAGAAAGTCACACAAGTGATTTGTGTTAGCCAATACCTGTGGATCAACAGTAGGTTTCTTAAGAAGAGGTTTATTTGCAGCTACCTTGAAGGACTGTCCTGTCAGCCTGGACAGATTCATAACATCCATATATGTACTGGCTTTAAGAGCAAACAGGAGAAGAGGGAAGAAACACAATGTATTGGAGATTGCTGAAAGGAAAAAAAGGTTGAGGAGGGCGGTTTTGTGCAAAAAAACTAATTGACAGAAATAGCAAAGAAGGCTACATTCAAACGCCGTTTACTCAGTGTCTCAGTGTACCAACATTATGCATGTTCAATGTTAAAAAGCAATTATTACATCAAAGTATTCTCTATATAATCACATTGCTTACATGAGTGATGATTGGCGTAGGTCTTTGCAGGAGGTTTTGACTTTCTCCATATGTCTGTGCGTGTCAGTGTTTGTGCCTCAAGATTGCATCTGGTAGCAATGTTGATGATGTTGTTCTGATCAGCAAAAATATACACACTGAAAAGATTCCGCATTCTCACAGCTTTTATCCTTACTATATATGGCAACACATCAACATAACACTTGCAATCTCATAACTAACAAAGGGTTAGTGGTTGCAGATGCTCTGAATGATTGCAAAAAAAGATTCTCATCTCATATGTCAAGTTATCTTCTCTACCTCGTCTCAAAACATATTTACAACATACATCTAAAAGGAAACCATTTTTGTTTGACACTATAGTTAAAAAAATATAGCAAATCTTAGCCCAGCCTCAATTATAAACTATTTTCTATATTTTGGCGAAACTGTTTTTTATCACCATGTTGAGGAACGGTGCCCATATGGACAACAAACGAGTCAGAGCTGGTCAGAACAAATCAGAGCCTAAATTTCAGCTCTCTCTCCTGGCTACAATAAGCACCAAACGACTAAAAAATACTCCAAACACACTTTGTGGGTGGGGTAAGAGTAAGAACATATACCATGCAGATTTGTCCAGAAATTTTGGACTGATCAAGAGTGCTTTATTTTTATGATGCTTTATGCTACATTAGCATTGGAGACCATAAACAGCAAAACAATCATAAATGTGTCTTAACTTTGTTGTTTTTCACAAAAAATGATGGATTTAATCCGGTTCTTTTTGCAATGAACTCTTGTTAGACTTTAGCTTAGCATTCAGAACTCGTTCTGTGACAAAGTAAAAGCATGTGGAAGCACAAGACTTCACAAAAGGCTTTCAGGAGAGCAGTTTATCGTTGCTCTATCAACTTTAAACTTTACAGGTGTACTGTCCACCAACTGGCAGGTCACGTAGGTGGGTTTTTATCCACGCTTTTAAGCTCTATGGGATTTATAGGGCAGGTTTATGACATCTTTTGTTTTCAACAGTAACATATAGACTGATTGGCCCTGTCTGTGTTCCAATAGGGGCCTTGAGCACCAGTGGTGAAGATGTTCTGTATCCTCTTTACCAGGACGCACTTGCCAGAGGTACAGTCACAGAGTCGTGGAGCTCGAGATCAGCGTTAGGAGTAAAACCACGTCCTCTGGGAACAGGGTGTCAGCCAGGACTGTGGCTGGCATCTGAGGCCACACAGAACCACAAGGCCCCTGCAGAGGCCTGCCTATCTGCTGCATCAAAGGCCATAGGCCCACTGGCCTCTCCGTAGATATCCAGTTACTAATCTGTTGGGCCTGGCCAGAACTGCAAATGGTTCTGCTCATCCAGCACGCAGACTGGGCTTTGCCCTGCAAGACAGTAAATCCAGCCCAGCTAAAGGGGGGCATGGGGGGCTGAACAGGGACACACATCTATATGGGTGGTCAGAGGACAGAGAGCATTGTGGTTGAGCGCAATCACTCAATAGCTGCGGTTTAGGAACATTTTCTGGGAGAATTTGACCCAAAGCTCGTCGAGCATGGAACTAAAGGACAGGAAATTCAGACTTTCAGAAGGAACGTTTATATCCCGACCAAAAGTATCGGATTGAAACTCATTACAAAACAGATATGACAACTCATGGTTGTTATAGTTGCTTTTCTTATATTCAGAAAATTCCTTGACTAGAACTACAATCTTCCTTTACGTTCAATCAAGTATGGCTTGTATAATCATATACGTAGCTTATAATCATCTTTTTCTCTTCCTTTTTCTTGGGTCATAGGGGGTATTAGTGGTTTCTATTGTAAAATGACTTAAACCATGACACCGATTATAAGCCAAACCTCTCAGTGGGTTCCCGTCACCTCACCATGGAGATGTAGCATAGCATCTTTCTATCGTTGTGCTGCAAACACACCCCTTCTGTCCGCCTATTTAACCCTGTGTGTATTCATCTGTTCTCTGTTGTCTCTCCTGAGCCTGCTTCTCTACCTTCACCCTCCCTCCCTTTTTACTTCAGTTTTCTTTCATTTCTTGCCTCTCTTTCCTACCCTCCGTTCCAATGTCAGTTAAATTCCATGGGAGTCGGACCTCCCAGAGGCCCCTAGACAGAGGTAGCCTCCATGAAGGGAGAGCTTCTTCGCTGTCGGCTTCCTGCCGCCTCACTGGCCCCCACACACGCTCACACATGTGCACACTTTCCCCCAGGGGGGTCAGTGTCATTGTTGGCATTGAGTGCATGTTTGTTGGGTTGCAATATTAAATCTCCTCATTTGATTTGGACCGTAATTATGTCGTAAAAACAAACTGGCTGTGAAGCCGTGGCCCGCCAGTGTGATCTACTTTCATCAAGTTCAGACTTGCCTAATTATAGAGAATGCCATACAGCCATCTTTCACTGGGCAGCTTCTCCTGCAGCTTCTTTAAGCCATCACATTCTTTTGTTGTGCGTGAATCACTAGGCAATTGGACCATTTAAACACTGGTCTGTCTAAATCTTGCAAATTGGTAAAAGAA